CTCCTCAGTCAAGCTGGCTGGTCAGTGAGCACCCAGGCTAAGCCTATCTGTCTCCAAGTGCTGGACTTATAGGGCACATGAAGCCATGCCCAGCTTTTTCACATTAGTGCTGGGAATTCAAACTCAGGTTCTCATGCTTGCCCAGAAAGCACTCTATCCACTAATCCATATCCCTATCTCTTGGTTCCTTTTCTTCACCATCATCTTGTTTAAAAATTCATGTAAAATTTATTATTTGGTGGTTTCAAAAATGTAGCAGAGTGAATGTCAAAGACTTTTCAACAACACGGCCATTGTAAAGCTAACCAGCAGCAAGGCTGGGCTTTCCAGACAGCAGCTGGGGTGGGTGTGAGCAAGCAAAGAGGTGTCAGGCTTCTAGGAGAGGCTTTGACACTGGAGGGCTCTCCACTAGACAAAGGAAACAAAGTCTGCTAAGACAGGGAGAGTCACTTCTACCAAGTGTGAGACTGGGAATGCAAACGCATCCACACTGCTTGTCATGAAGGGAAACAATAAACAACACAAGTTTCCAGTTGGGAAGAGGATATGAGAAACAGTAAGTTTTTAATACAAAACTCAGAATACAAAACAAAGGTGAGCATTGGGCAGAACTTTACGTTTCGTTTGGTTGAGGATTTATAGGGCTAATGGAAAAATCCAGGGCATCTTTCTCAAAGGCAGATGTAACCCTGAGAGGAACACAGGGAGAACAGAAACATATCTAGAAGTCACTGTGGAATATGTGAGGTCCCCACGCCCTTGGTGACCCTGAGACCCTGAGAAAACAGGTTTTTCAGTTTTGTGTGCAAGGCTATCCCATACTGTTTTAGTTTGCTTTCTGTTGCTGTGACAAAGACACCATGACAAAGAGCAGAGGGAAGCTCATGGAAGTTTTTTGGAAACTGTCTTGCTGGGTCAGCAGGCAGGTACTATCTGCACATCATTATTTTTAAGATTAATTTTTAATTACGTGTGGGGAGGTATATACATTTGAGTGCAGGTGCTCACAGATAGGAGAAGCATTGAATCCCCAGGAGCTGCAGGTACAGGTGGCTATGAGCTGTCTAGCATGGGTGCTGGAAACCAAACTCCGGCCCGCTGCTGGAGCAGAGTGCACATGTAACTGCTCAGTTATCTCTTTAGTCCTCACATTATTCTTATGCAAATTCATGAGCTCCCATGACCCTAGTGTCTCCATCAATAGTTTTCAGAAGGAAGTTCTTGGGTCAGAATTTGATGGGGGAAGTCCTTCTATGTATATGTTTGTGTTATTGGTTGATAAATAAAACACTGTTGGCCAATAGGGAAGCAAGATAGGTGGGACTAGGAGTCAAGGACGATTCTGGGAAATGTAGTTGAGTAGGGAGTTGCCATGTGATCCCAGGAAGGGAGGACACATCAGGGTGGCATCCTCAGAAAGATTAAGTCCTTATAGAAATATATATATTAGTAGCCATGGGTTAATACTTAAGACAGAACTACCCAATGAGAAGCCCTAGACATTGGCTGACAACATTGTAATAGAGTCTCTGTGTGTTATTTGGGGTTGATGCACCTCTGGGACTGGGCTGGGAGGAAGAATCTTGTTACAAGTAGTAGAGTCAGTAGAGAATTGTGTAGAGATATTAATTTTTAGGTCCTCCTACATCTACAACGAGTCTGTGGGTAGACTATTAATCCTATTAATCAATGCCTTGCCTATCCTCCTTCTTAAGAGTTTCTGATGAACTCTGAAATTTGAAAGTTGTAAGTCTAGATTAGTATTTCTCATAATGTAGGTCATTAAATAAATTCAACTACAACCAGCACTTATAAACAAAACAAAAAAAGGTATAGAAATAGAACAAAATCCATCACATTGTAAAGTAGTATTTATACAATTTTTGTCTCAAATATACATGCAAATTTCTACACATGCATATGCACTGGTTGTCAAGGTTTAGACATTGCATGTACCTCAAAATCCTACTTGTTAGGACAGTGGTTAAGAGAGTTTGTTGCTTTTTCAGAGTATCATTTTCAGAATCCAGTTCCCATATGCTGGCTCATTAACATCTATACCTCCATTTTTTAGGAGACCCTTTTCTGAAATTTGTGGATACCAGGCACATATATGCTGTGGTGCATACATATATTCAAAAACATAAAATTAAATAAATAATTCTAAAAAACAAAGGTCCTATTTGTTAAAGGCATGGCAGTCAGTCTATGGACCTTTGGAGGCTCTCTATAATCGGTGGGAGCTTAAGTCAGGGTATGCTCATAAAGGCTATAGAGACCCAAGCTCCCCTCTTTCTTACTCCATACCCTTCATGTGTCTCATTTCCTCACCCTGGCCTCCCCTCTCTTCTACTCTCTATGATTTGAACAGCTCTTGAGTCAAATGCTCCTAACTGATGAGCTACACAGACATGCACTCGGATCAACAGGGCTTCCGAAGTGACCTAATCAGAAACTTTTAAAACTAAATGAAAAGAAACCTCTTCCTCTTAAAAGTTGGCTTTCTCAGGCATTTGCTCATAGGGACAGCTGACTAACAGTTAAGAAGTTATTGCAGGGCAGAGTTTCAGTTATTTTCAACTATCTGAAGACTACACGCATGAACCACACTTGACTCTGTGTCTTGAGGATCCTAAACCATGTCTCTGAACCATCCTACTAACATGGTCTCATACAACGTGCTGACTTTTCTCATACTACCTTTTGTATTTCATCTTATATTTAATTTTTACTTCCACTATATTTTACTCAATGCCAATCACTATTTGTCATCTTTCTCCTTCCTTAGCTAATGACAGAACATTCTCAGGCACTTTCCCAATACACCCATAACATCCATCCAACAAACCTTTCCTACATGAACCCCAGAACTCACTAAGTTGTCAGTGGGCTTTGTAGCCACGTGTATCTCATGTCTCTGATCCTTCTTATAAAACAGCACTTCCTTGTGGGACAAGAGTCGAATTTGAGCCATGTACTTCTAGTACTGACCTTGGGAAAGTTATAGAATATATTTCATAAGATGCAAACAAATGAGTCCTGGGACCGCAAAACTGAGATAAACAATATCCTGACTTTCAGTTTAGGCCAGATGAGTCAAATATTAAATTAATTAAGAGTTACAGAATAAATAAAACCCCTGAAATCTGTTTTAAAGGGATTGTGAGAGGCCAGAGGCTTAAGCTGTAGGTGAGATGTGTGAATAATTCAGCATTTCTGGAGGTTTTCAGTGAAATCAACAGTGTGTAACATGAGTCAGGCATAAACACTGAGAATGAAAAAAATCACAGAAAAAAATGGAGAGAAGAGTCTTAGACACATGGAAATGAATTTGCTGGAGAAACCATGAAACAAAAGTTTCTGTAGTTAAGAGAAATTACAGGTCTTTGAATACTCAGTGTAAACTGTGGTCCTTCCTGTCCTCACTGACTTGTGCATGTGGGCGTATGTCTCAGGGAGAATGCTGATGTTCTGCAAATCTTATGGCATGAAGGTGTTGTGAGCGAGAAGCCCACACACTTAGTTCCTTGTCTAGACTGTAAGGCATTTTAAGCAGCAGTGAGGCTCTACGCAGTGCCCCAGTGGGAACCCCATTTCTACTATTTGTTAGCTGAATAACTTCGGACACATTCCTTAATGTTTCTGAACTCCAGGTTCTCTGCTCATATGATGAAAGCTGTCACATGCTATCACACTGCTGCCATAAGTAAGGCCTCAGAAAGATGCCCAGCACATGGTACCCAGAGTACTCGACTGTTCTGTAAGCACAGGCCTATGAAGCAGAGTACTGTTGGGCATCCATTCCCACTGATATGCAAACATGAGCTGCAGATGGGTCAGAATTAGCATTCTAAGCAGCTGCCTTACTATCTGCAGTAGAACAAGAGTGTGTGCTGCTTGTCAGTGCCCGGAATGAGTGGCTCTCCAGATGAGGCTGATCTTCCACTACATACTGTGTCCCCCACCTTCTGTTAGGCTGATGACTCCATCAAGGGAAAGGAGCTGTTCGCTCGTTTCACAGCTGACACTGTTTTCTAAACAGTGAGTGGATCACACTCAGCCAAGCTTTGCTAACTAGTAAAAATGGATTAAGTCGAAGAGCTCTGCAGAGCAAACATCAAGGTTTCATAAAGTCAACTTGACCATCAGCTACATTTTTATATTTTATTCCTACTTGTTCCTGCTTATAAAAATAATAAAGTGAGATCAATAACCATGAACAGCAACAGGATGAGCAAAGCCTTTTGGAGACTCTCAATTTATATATAAAAATACTTTTATATATTATAGTAGGGAACATTTTTAGAGAAAGATATAACACAAAATTAATCGTTGGAAATGCTGGTCGATAGCTTTTTGTCCATTTACAGAATGCACAGCACTGTCACTACTTATTTTACAAACTACTTTCATATCCCATAAAAGAAACTGCATATACAGCAACCAGGCTTAGCTGTATATACTGTACATGAAAAGGAAAGTGACTTCTTTAAATAGAGCCTCTAGCAAACCTCTGCCAAATGTAGACTTCGTTCAACTATTGCAAAATATAACCATGAAACAAATTCCCAAGGCCTCCATATGATATGATACGGCAAGTCTCTGCCTCTATACAACATGGCAAGTCTCTGCCTCCAAATAGCATGGCAAGTCTCTGCTTTCACACAAGCCTGTCAGCATTCTTTTAAGAGACAGCACCTATGCCTGACTCAGAATGTTAGGGCAAGAACCCCAATTCTCAGGGCTTAGCATTTTTGTTTCATAACCAACTAGTAAAATTAAAGCATTGTGCAACATAGCTTTCTTAAACATCCTTTGTTAATTTCAAATAGGAAATAAAAGTCACAGGAGTTTCAAAGGTAATGGATAAAAACTTTATTTTTAACACATGCTATGCACATTTCTGAAGACCTACAGTCCTATATTTGTGATTCACAATAGTTATGGCAACATATTTTAATAAATTTTGCATCTACCCTAAATAATGCAAAGGAACTCACTGTCGATCAGGGCACATTCTTCCTCGCTCTCCTCACTGTCCACAGACGGAGCTCTGTAAGGCGGAGGCAGCTTCATTGGAGGTGGAGCTGTTCCGTGCCTCTGAAGGTGCAAAATTAAAGAAAAGCATTAATAACTTTCATACAATGCTCTTCTTTAGTGACAAAAAGCACACATAAAAAAAGATGATCTGAAAATAGTCTGGCTGCAGCTGACTTCGACCATAATACAAGGACTGTAAAACAAATGTAATTCTTCCCTCCAGTTCTTGTTATTTTGTGAAAGTAATTTTATGTAAACACAGTAATGCAACAAACAGGAATTTAAAAGCACAGCTTTGAAGAACACGACCCTGCCTAGAAGAACACACCTCTAGAACCTCCCGGAAGAACGCAAGCCATGTACACTCTCTTTAAGCCATCAAACTCAATCCTCTGTGTTACTAACAAAATAACTCACAGATTTTCAAATGTAAAGGTAACAATAACACCACATATCAACTTTACAATTATTCAGGTTTTCTTCATTATAATAATTACAGGTTATTTTTTAAAAAGTAGCTGAAATATCAGATTTTATAAATGGCAAAGTGCTCTTCTAGAGTTTGCAGATAGTCAAACACATTTAATGTTAAAAGGGAAGTGGTTATAATGAATAATTATTCTGAATAAAGATGCTGTGAATTAACACAGCAAATAACATAGTACAACAATCTATGACTCACGTAGATAATTAAAGTGAAACAAAATCCCATTGCTAAATTACCTTCACAGAATGAAGACGAGCTCGTGAGCGTGAGAAAAAGGGAAACATGCCGCACGTGGCAGAGACGCCAGCTGCTGCTGAGACGCTCAGGCCTTGACAACACCCAAACACTAGCCTAGGGTTTGCCTTCCTGCATGACTTCAACAGAGTGCATTCAATTACGCTTGGCCAGACAAAACCACTAATGCAAGAAGGCACACCTCTGTTGAGTGGACACTGACCCATTATAACAAGGCCAAGAGTGAACTCCTCCAGAAGAGAAGGTACTATCTGGGATTCATAAAAGAATGCACTCCCACATTTCTTAAGCACAATATATAACAAAAAAAATCAGTGATCGTATGTGTGGAAAATACAAAATGCTAAAATGTCAGAGTGATGAAGAAAAGTCAGATTTGAAACATTTATTAAGAAACAAGTGAGAATGTGACAGCTATAGTTTTCAAGTTGAAAAAAAAAGGTGAGTGAAATGAAAAGAAACATCAAGTGACTCCTCCCCACCCCACCCCTACCACTCCCCCCAAAAAACCTTCTTTTCTCAGGACCAGGTCATTCAACATTAAAGCTGATCCTTCAAACAAGGGCAGGGTCTGAATGTACTATTAAGAGCTAAGAATTCCAGCTTAGTTGATTATATTCTGTCAACACAGATAAGTGTGCATCCTAATCCAGGCTGGTCTGGAACTCACCCTCTCTCTGCTGAACTCCCCAAGTGCTGGGATTAAGGTGCAGACCACGCCCAGTCCCCAGATGCACCAGCCTGCTGCACATTAAAGAAGGGTGTGCACACACCAGACCCTCTAGTGATGGGGAAGGCTGAAGTTCCCAATGATGAAGCAGGTCAGAAGATGACAAACATCATCAAGACAGAGAACAAGGCATCTTCAAGTTTAGTCCCATGTACATGATGACCTCCCTAGGCATGTCTAAATAACTGCCTCTATTCATGCTGTTGCCTGAAAGACAAACTTTCAGAAAATGACAGTGACTCAAGCAACTCTTTTTGTTTTTGTTTTTGTTTTTTTTGTTTTGTTTTTTTGAGATATAGTTCAATGTAATCTAGTCCAGGCTGGCCTCTAATTCTATATGGAGCCAAGGATGAGCCTGAACTCCATTTCAAGCATGTGCCACCCTAACTACTGCAAATGATTCTCACTTGACAGCATTATGTACTGATTTTGTGTAGCAGATAGGCAAATGGTGTTCATACTTATAAGGTAAATGTCTTCTAAAAGATAGCACCAAAGTTATAGCCTTCTTGTCCTGTAAGGCATGAACTAATTTTATGTCTAAATTTGAACCTAACTACTCAATTATCTGCTCCCTGCACCAGGCTTACCATGTCTTATTGCTCTTGTTAGTGAGTTAAATAAATACTTGACACCTGCACATTTTGCATAGTTCCATGATTACTGTTTTTTTATTTATTTTTTACTTATATACTGACAGTTTTGGAAGTCCCACTGAGACACTCAAGCAGACCCACCTTAGTTCAAGCAGAACTAATTAAACAGAGATGTCTCAGATATGCAATTCATCAGTTGTTTAAAGCCATTTACATGATTTTGGCTCACACAGTAAATTCTGAGAGAGACAGAACTCCACCACTTTTACCTATTTCTCTGTGCTTTATTTACAATTCTGCGTGTGTGCTTTTGTTACTAGGTTAAGTCTGACCCGTTATTCACTGGGCCTGTAATTTGGCGGCAGCAGTAATGAATGGAATGTGGTTTCTGCTGTTGCCATTGGGTGTCCTTTATCGGGGTGATAAGTCCCTCAGAGCTGGCTCTTTGGGATCTACTGTCCACTGGCTGAGGAGTTACAATTTTCCTTTTTGATTTCGTGCTAAAGGAACAGCTCTCTGACAAACAGACCAAGCGGTTTGCATTTCTGTGTCTCACACAACATAAGGCTACATTGCTAGGTGAGCAGCTAGGAACTGAACCTCTGCATTTGAGGAATGTTCTTACTGCTCTTTGTGAATGTGTTTTAATAAAGTGTAACAGTTCTGAACCCAAAGCAAAACAAAAACAAAAACAACCCACAAACAAAAAAACAAAATCAACCCACAAACAAAAAACAAAAACAAAAAGTTTCCCATTAGTTTATGAACTAGTGTTACTTAAAATTAATTTTTAGTTTCCAGAAAACAGTGAAACTGAACATATTATTTTGAGTACACTGGTATTGTGATAATTTTTTAAAATTCCTTCTTCAGAACCTTTAAAAGAATCTAATTGTCTGTGTGTGTAGGGGTTGGGGGCCCATGCACTTGAGTTCAGGAGACCTAGCGGCCAGAAGCCTGGGCTCCCCTGGGAGCTATAGGCATCTGTGAGCAGTGGGACATGGTGCTGGGAACTGAACTCAGCTCCTGCAGTAGCTCCACATCTTCTTAACCCCAGAAAACGTTTTCACATGAGAATCCAGATTCAAAGACACATGTTCTGGACATACCTGTTATTTCAGCATTGGGAGACGGAAGCAGAGGACCAAGGCCTCTCTGACCTAGATAGTGAGTTCAAAGACAGCCTAGACTACATAAGACTCTCTCAGAAAGAGATCCAGCAAGCAAAACACACACACACACACACACACACACACACACACACACACACCCCGCAAATGCAAATCAAGATTCACATGATCAAAGTGACTTGAGAAGTCTCTCAACAAATAATAAAACAGTAATATCATATACACAGCAGTCTGATTATAACTAAGTTAGAAAGCAATTAGAGTCTCAACAGCAAAATTCAGCATTTCTAGGAAGAAATCCAGGGTTTATACTTTTCTGGATTTTGAACATCAATGAACGGAGATAATTTCATGGAGAGAAATATATGCTAGGCAAATAAAAGGTTGCAACTTCAGAGCAATGTGGTCTTGTCCCAAATCAACCCCAAAACATCACCAAACTAATTTGTGGAAATGGCCCAGTTGATTCTATATTTACATAGAAATGAATGAAAAATGAACATAACCACACAAGAATTTAGAAACAGAGACATGCAAAAATCAAAAACCCCCGCTCCACCAGAACACAAGATTTGACTGCCAGGCACCAGCATCTGGGGAGCAGAGGAGGAGGGACAGAGAGCTGATTGAAGAGCCAGGCCAAAAGCACAGCTTCTGTCCCACAACTCCTGCCAGGACAGGCTTGGACTAAAAATCCTATTTTGCCCTCCAAGCCCTATTTCAAAATAATGAGTCAATTTCCTTGATGGGGTAAAAAAGTATAGAAGCATCCTACCTGATACCATACTCTAAGATAACTTTTAGGTCAATGAATTCTATTAGAATGCAGGAAAACAAAATGGGTGATTAATTCTGACAGGTGAAAATGATTTTTTCCCAGTAGAGGTAAATTTTGATGTGAATTTTCTTAGGAAAAAAACAATATGTAAATGAAAACTTTCAGTTGTGAGCAGCATGCTCTGGAAATGGCGACCCAGCTTACGAAACCAAACAGGAGAGTTACAGATGTCCTTGGCTGCACTTCATGGGCTACCTGACACCTGGTCCCTGTTTTTTCCTGTCAAGAACCAGATTCATACCCAGCAGAAATCCACAGGACTCCTCCCCACTCGCACTCGCCACGGCTCAGCTACGCAAAAAGAAAGAAAAGCACTTCTAAGATGCTGGGGCGGGGGAGGCTTACCTTTGCTCTTCTTTCTGGAGTCTCTTGATCCTGGTTCCTGGCAGATGGTTTGCCTTTGTTGTGCACACTCGGGATGACCTACCACCACCACAGAAAGGGAAGAAGAAAGATGAGCAAGCTCAAGTGTCTTTTTCTAAATTGTTGTGATGGTGCACACCCATAATCCTAGCACCTTTGAGGCTGAGGCAGGGGGATCCCAAGCCTGGGCTACACAGTGAGCTCAAGGCCACCTTGGGAGACATAGTGTCTCAAAAGAAAGAGAAAGGTGATGGATGCCATTAATTCAGCACTCCAAAGGCGAAGACATGAGGAGATATTCAAGTTTGAGGACAGCCTGGTCTGCACAGCAAGTTGCTGGCCAACCAGGGCTACATCATACTGAGATCATATCTCAGGGAGACAGAGAGAGCCAGGGAGGGAGAGAAGGAGGGAGGGAAGGAAGGAGGGAGGGAGGGAAGGAAGGAGGGAGGGAGGGAAGGAAGGAGGGAGGGAGGGAGGGAGGGAGGGACTCTCCTCTCTTCCCATCTTCCTGATTAGTGTGGTGTGGGTGGCTTTTCTCACAGTGCAGTTCAGGTTGGTCTAGACCTTGCTATGTAGTCTAGGCTAGCCTCAAACTCATCATCTTCCCAGTTCAGGATAACAGGGGGGTGCTAGGAAGGTGGGAGCCATACACTGGGCTTTACATTCCTTTTGTCTATTTACTAGTCTGCGCTATTGCTCATGCCAGGCTTGGTACTGAGCAAGCTCCAGCCTTTCTTTTCTGTGTTTCCAGACAGTAAAGACTTAATAAACCTGGAGACTTCGTCTCAAAGTAAATATATGAAAAGTTAAATTCAAGGCAATCAGTAAAAATGGGTAAAGTAGAGAAAATATGCATTATAAAATCATGCCATCAGAACAAATAAATTAAAGATTTGTGTTTAAGATGACAACAAAGAAAGCTACAAAGTTAGACCACTGTCATTTAAATATCTCATTCTACAAAGCAAGTTTCAGTGGAGACTTAAGTGAATTGCTAGACTATAGGAACCCTTCTACACACTGTGTCAATATATGTCGCTATGATTGGTGTAATGAACAAGCTGACTAGCCAATAGCTGAACAGGATAGAGTTAGGCAGAAAGCCAAACTGGGAATGATGGGACGAGGAACGGCGAAGTGAGAAGAGACACCGGCCAGCAGCCAAGGAAGTAGGATGTGTACAAAAATGAGGTAACAAGCCATGAGCCACGTGGTAGCACACAGAATAATAGAAATGGGTTAATTTAGGTTAGAAGAGCAGGCTAAAAACAAGCCCGAGCTATTAGCCAGGCATTTACAAATAATATAAGCCTCTGTGTGGTAATCTGGAAGCAGCTTCCAGGATAAGAAAACACCTCCAACAAACCTCATATATTTGACCTCTGAACTTCCAGCTGAAATATGTTATTTAGCAGACTTTTATCTAACTATCACTGTTAGGAGAAGGATAAATTACAAATTTATTTCTACTATCCAATGAGAGAAAGAATTGGATGACATGTTATATTTATTTTTTATTGTATGAATGTTTTCCCTGCACATATATATCAGTAAGAGGGCATCAGATCCCCTGGAACAGGAGTTACAGGTAGCCGTGAGCCACTGTATGGACACAGGAATTGTACGTGGGTCCTATGCAACACCCAGTTCTCTTAACCACAGAGCCATCTTTCCAGCCCCCTGAAGTTCAGGTTTATAACAACAATTTTAATTCTTACTGATGCCAATAGCACAGCTTTCTAATTTTGTTTTGGATGATGGTGTTTTGAGACAGGACCTCAGTTGTTACTCCAGGGCCACCTAGAACTCTGTATAGCCCAGGCTGACCTCCAGTGTGTTGCTGAGCCACCATGCTCAGCTAAAGGTACACCCAGGAGCTGGCTTGTCCTCCTGGCTCTCCCTCTGCAGCAGCCACCTCTGGCATGTGGCTACTACTTCCCAAAAATGTCTCTTTGTAGTGTTAATGAGACATCTTGGGAAAATATAATATTGTTAGTGATTTTTTTTCTAGTCCTAGAGATTGAAGTCTGAGTCTCACCCATGTTAGGCACTCTACTGCTAAGCTAGACTCTGAACCACTAGTTATGGTTTGGAGACTCTTCAAATGGCCAGCAGAAATAATTATGGCATAAAACCTGATGGCTGTCATGTAGGTAGGAAAGTTTTTTTTTCTTCAGAAAGTTAAAGAAACTGCCTGTATCAAGACTATTAAAAACAGTACAAAATTTTCCACATTGATCTAAATGCAATTTAAGATGAAATTTTATTCATTTTTACTATGTTAAATGAATTCAGACTTAGTAAGATCTCAGAAATGTTTCCCTTTCATAAAACAACTTACTAAGTTCTTAGAAAGACTTATTTTTATTCACGGGTCTCTATGTGAGAGCATTCATTTCTATGTGTCCATGTGTATGCGTGTGTGCGCATGTCTGGGCTCTCAGAGGCTAGAAGAGGGTGTCAGATCCCATGGAGCTGGTGCTACAGGCAGTTGTGAGCTGCCGTGCATGGGTGCAAGGAGCCAAACGTGGGTCCTCTGCAGCTGCAAGTGCTCCCAACCTCTCTCCAGTTCCAGCAATAACTTAATGCATAGTGAGAGCCTTTGCGGCAGCACTGAGCTCTGTACTTTTGTCTTACATACACTAAAAACCTGCTGGAGTACAAGATCATAGGCTCATGGGTAGGTGATTCTTGCCAAAATCTAGAAACGAAACAATCGGGGTCTGCTTCCACCCATGACAAGACCAGGCAGAGATAAAAGGCATGCAGAAGTGTCATATGAGCAATGTCAGCTGCCTCTCCTAATGTCTATATTCTGAATATCGAAAAAATACTACTGCATATGCTAAGCACAGGCAAAGCTCATGTAACAGAGAAAACTGAATTTATATGGTTAACAGGGAGCTGTGCATGTATCAAAAGAAGGGCACTGTTCTACAGCCACATGATAAGGATGCGTAGTCAGGGCCCTGGAAGACAGAAAACAGCACATCACACTGCTTCCGGGGGAATTAGATGGTCTAGTACATAGCAGTATTCACTAAGTGCTTGGAGATGAATGAGGTTCAATTTTAATTTCAATTCTTAATGATACTTAAGGGGTGGCTGAGGAGATGGCTACAATTTCCAAAAGGCGTTTTTGTTGTTAAAGTGGCGTGGGGTACAGATATGAAAAAAATACACACAATGTGATTCTCAGGTGTGCTTAAGCTAATGTATGGTGTCATGACTCAATTTAGGCCAGCAAATCAAAATTGGGCCTAAAAAAACAGAGATTGAAGGGAAAAGCTAAACGTGTATTGAGTTAATATTTCTTCTACTAGTAAAACCAAGCAACAGTGAGAACGTGGGAATCCTGGGAGAGAAAGGCTAGCACACAGGTGAACAGATTACTCATGTGGTATAAATAGGAAGTAGACCTTACCCTGGGGGTGGATGACAGGCTCTGTACCACGAACACGACAGGGTTTCCTGCGTTCTTGATGGCCTCCACAGCTTCTGCATGGGAGGCATTCTGCAGGTCTATGCCAGACACCTAAAACACACAAGGCGGCGTTCTGATTAGAAAGGCACCAGGTTGTGGACAGGTTAGCTCAAGTTCACGTGTATCATCTGTGCGTGAGAAAAGCCAGAAACTAATGAGTTAGACCACAGCCAGGGATTAGAAACAACTACATATGAAATGTTCTACTTTTCCCCACTGGCATTAAGGAAAATAACGTTTCCACTTGGGGGGAGGGCAAAGAGGACAGTTACATTGTCACAATAGTCCCACTTTCATATAATGACCTAAACTGGGAGCTGGTAAGGTTCCATTCTAGTGAGGTCTCTACAATAGCACAGGATTGCAGGATGAATGCAAGGGTTCCCCTAGCAAATCCCACAGTGACAGACGAGAATGGTTGGCGGTGGGAAGCTGGGGACAAATGGAACTCTGATACATTCATGTAGCACTGGCACTCACACGTAAAAGTAATAAATAACGAGTAAATCATTAAGATTAGTCTCCCATAAAACCGAGCAAATGAGACACATGGATACAAGCGCACAATCAAGAACTTGCTGAAGGTTCTGGGGAAGCAGGTGTCCATCTGTTCTACACGCAGCATTATGCTAAATCCTTCAGTCGGCTGGGCTCTCCCCTCACAAGCTAGAGAAGTTCAAATAGTGTGTACACAGTATACAAACTAAGGTATCACAAGGGCATTCCATCAATCCAATTATACTAAACAAGAGGTTTGCCAAAGTGAGTCTTTTACTGATTCAAATGTTTCAAGTAAAACATTGTGTCTACTTCACTTACCTCAAGTATTTTATCTCCAGTTTTAAGAGCATTGGTTTTTCCTGCAGGACTATCTTCTAACACTTGTTTGATGAATATACCCTTGAGCTCCTCTCCATTCTTTAGGCGTTTTATAACCGTTTGTCCACCAACAATGCTGATTCCGAGAGACACATTAGGTTCTCTAAAAATCTCAACACTATAAAAGGGACAAACAAAACACACTCATGAATAAGGTAATTTAACTCTATTGTCACTGTAAGTGTTCAATTTATTACATAGCCCATGGCTCATGTTTTATTAAAATTTCCTAATGTACTCTAGAGATGTTATATAAACAATGCTAGCTCAAAAATGATAATACACTACCAAAATTTATGACACGGGAAAGTTTAAATTTTGAAAAGATAGATCTCTCAAGTAAGAACTGCTGAGATTCAGAGATGGGTTGGAGGAGACTTAAGGTGCCTCCCTCCGTCGTCACTGTACCATCAGTCAATTCATTCACATGCACAATGTTAGCAGGGACTCTGAGTAAACAACAAAGAGCGGAAGACTCAGTGAAGCACTATACATTTTAATCAAGCCTCGCTTCTCAGAGTAAAATAAACTTGCTATGAGTGGCTCACAATGCACTGCTTCCCCAGTGAGAGTCAAGTGTGAGGTTCTTTGTAGAAGGCCAACTTTATCCGCTTTTCAGGCAAGAGGTGTCTCTGCTTTCTGCATCCGCATCATTGCTTGTTGCTGTTATTTGAGACAGGGTCTCAGTATACAGCTATTCTGACCCTGGATCGGCATTCTTGCTGTTTCAGCTTCCCAGGAACTTCCCAGGAAAGCAGGCATATGCCTTCATGTCACCCATACACCCATATACAGACCCAAACAAATGTTTATATTTTATCCAATCACACTTTACAAAGGAGTATGAAATGAAATTTTTTCCTATATGCTTTGCTTTAACTACAGAAGCATGACTAGTAGTCAACTCAATTTGAAATTTACTCAGAAAATATGTCTTAAGAGTCATTCAGACAGTATTCAGAATTGCAAGATAATGATAGGTTGGAGGGTGTGGATTTAACACAGTTAAAAACAGAGAGAGGAGCTATTGAATAACCATAAAACACTGATGGCCTGACAAGTACTTCTACGTGCAACCACATGCAAGAGAAGATGAGCTCATTCTGTGAGCCAAAACCAGACACAAATGCATACTCTCCACCAGGAGCGAGACAAGTGGTTGGTGAGAGAAGCTCAACTACTGTTTCTAGACCTGTGGCTTCAGAGCAGCCAAGGCAGCACCACCTCACATGTAGCTGACACATGATAAAGTATGATGTCCATCAGTGGCTACTCTCAGAGGGACATTTGTAAGTTGCTTTCTCTGAGACAGCAGCATCAAAGAGTTTGTCGACACTGGCTAACAGTCTTTGGACAGGAGAAAAGGGGAATCAGCACAAAGTATATTACTTATTTCAAGTCTCAATTACTGTGTGACTAAGTGTCTTAGTCAGGGTTTCTATTGCTGTGATTAAACACCATGACTAAAAAAGGTTTATTTGGCTTAAACTTCCATATCGCTGTTCATGCCTAAAGGAAGTCAGGACCAGAACCCCAAAGAGGCAGGAACCTTGAGGCAGGAGCTGATGCAGAGGCCCTGGAGAGATGCTGCTTACTGACTTGCTCCTCCGAGTTTGCTCAGCCTGCTTTCTTACAGAATTCAGGACCACCAAGTCCAGGGATAGCCCCACCCACAATGGGTTGAGCCCTCCCCCATCAATTTTTCAATTAAGAAAATGCCCTACAGTTGGATCTTATAGAGATCAGTTGAGGTTCCCTCCTTTCAGATGATGCAAGCTTGCATCAAGCTGACACAAGACTATGCAGCAGACTAAATAAGATGAAGGAAAGAACAAGGATATGCTTGCACTAATGACAGTAACGGCACGCACTCACATTCTTGGTGGACCCCAGTGGCTGAAGTTTGGCGTTTCTTCCCCTTCACCTTCCTCTCTCTCGGGTAACTCACTGCAAGGGGAAACACAACACTTATAAGACACATTCTTATTCTTAAAAGTTCTTCGAAGCTTCAAAATTGCATGATCTATACACAAGTCATTAATTTTTAGCCTCTTCAAGTATTCTCATCAATGAATGGACAAAGCAAACATTCACTGCTTTAATAGTCAACACAGCAACCCCTCCACATAGTTACACCACAGAAAGAGGAAAACCTGGTAATACATGAGGCTCTTCTTTCAAAAGATTCCCTTTAATTCGTGCATTGTCATCAATATGTAACATCTTTCTGTTATCCTATAGAGTCTCACTCTGTAACCCAGGATGGCATCAAAGACACACCAATCCTCCTGCTCAGCCTCCAAGTACAAATACTACAGGTGTGAATGACTATGCCCGGCCTAAAACATGTTTCTGAAACCTTGTACTGACAGACCAGCTCAATCGACAGACCCACTACTTTATTTTTACCTCTCAGGTGCGGTCCATTTGCTGACCTGGATAAGAAGAATTGTAGAGTAACTAGTTAGTGCAGTGATTTGATTGCTGTTGGTCACGGTGTTTACCACAGCAACAGCAAGCGGACTAGAAACAAACCAGAACAAGCAGTCTTAAAAAATCCTTAGTTTTAGGGAAAAAAAAGAAATCCTTGGTATTTGTGAAAGTTTGCTTTGATTTTAGTTTCTTTTAGTTAAGGGATGTAATTCTTATGGTGACAGTGTAGATGGTTTCCATGGCTCATTTACACTGTCTTTATGTCTTTATAGGAGTTACATCCCCCATCACACCCAAAAGGTATCTGGGGAGAAGGGTGCTTTTTTACTTTACAGCTTATCGTCCCATCATCTAGGGAAGCAAAGACAGGAACTCAAGCAGAGACCACAGAAAATGATGCTAGTGCTTCAGAGCTCAGGATCCTCTACTTGTCTTATACAGCCAAAGGGCTGAGCCCTTCTATAACAATTGTCAATCAAGAAAATGCCCCACACGAATGTCCACAGGCCAGGGTCATTCAGCCGTGTTTCCCTCTTCTTTGGTGACTCAAGTTGACAAGTGAGGCTGACTATGACACTATTAGTTCTCATATCGTCACATTAGTTTCCACATCACAGTGGGGAGGAGGCAAGACAATGTCTAGCACATTTTAAAAAAATGGTTTTCTTTGATAGGGATGTAACACAGGGATTCTCCTATTGGAAAAGGCTCACTACATTGTCACTGCCTACCATCATTCTTCAAGGAGTTGGCATACACATACTATAATCAGATTATTTCATAGAAAACAAAGTCTGAAACTCGTGAAGGTTTGCATACCGAATAGTAAGTTTCAGAATTCCAGAAGGCTGTGTGCAACTGAAAAAATAAGTCACTTTACCATGACTGTATATACCATTCCTTCAGAATTAGAAGCCAACAGAGTAAATCAAATACTTTTATTGTACATACTGAGGTGTAATTTTGCACAAATATATTTAAAACATTGAGGAAATTTTAATTTCTTCTAATTGTTTTCATTAATATTTTCAAGTTACCATACACAGTAGTGGATTTCATAGTGATACTGTCACACACGTCAGTATACTTTGTTCTTACGTACCTCCCTGCCACCCTCTCTCGTCACCGTCTTAGTGATCTTACACACACACAAACAGCTCCTCGAGCAGTTTTCACCTCACTTACACTTTTAACCTGTTCTGGGTCCCTTCCCATCACTTTGAATCTCTACCTCCCTCCACAGTCATTCTCATTGTTTGATATCTGTGTGTGTGTGTGTGTGTGTGTGTGTGTGTGTGTGTGTGTGTGTGTGTTGCACACAATGAAATGTAGACAAACACATCAATCTAAACCCGAGCTCCATGTGAGAGAGAAAACGTGCAATACTCATCTTTTGAGTCCAGCTAATTTCACTTTGCACAAACTCTCTAGTGCATCTATTTTCCTGCAAATGTCATAACTTTGTTCTTCACGGCTGAACAAAATGCCTGGGCGTTAGTGTCGCATTCCACATACCAGTTCTGCTCGTGTTGGACACTTAGGCTAGCTCTGGAACTTAGCTGCCAGGAATAGTACAGCAATGAACATGGATGTTCTCAGGACATACGACATTACACTAGCTGCAACATACTGTAGTTCTGATTTTGTTTTGGCTGGAACCTCCATGCTGACTTCCACAGTTGCTGGACCAGGTTAAATTCCCACCACAGAGTACAAGGGTTCCTTTTTTCCCACATCCTCACCAGAATTTTGGTATTTTTCTTCATGACAGATGTGCTGACTGGATGAGACAGACTCTCAATGTAATTTTACTTTGAAATTTCCTCATGGTGAAGAATATTGAAGAATGTATTTTCAAGTGCTTATTGAATAGCCTATTTCTTCCATTGAGAAATATATATTCCATCTATTAGAATTTTTGGAGTTCTTTATAGACTCGAGATTCCTGTAGGACAAAGAGTTGGCAAAGCTGCCCTCCCAACTGGTTGCTGCCTCTTCCTTTTCTGTGCAGTATTATTTGCGAATTCTTAGGGTTTCACCTTTGCCATTGGAGCCCTTTTCATAAAGCCCTTCTGTATGCATACAGCTGGAAGAGTTCTATGAATGTTTTCACCGAGTAGCTTTAGACTTTCTAGCTCTACATCACGGTTTTTGATACATTGATAGATTTTGGTGTGGGGTGAAATGGGGATTGCATTTCTTTCTGTTACTTGTAGATACCTAGTTCCCTAGGGCCACTTGTTGAAGGGGCAGTCCAGATGAATGTATGTGTGCCACAATGTGTGTGAGGGTCAGGGGACAAGTTGTGGAAGCTGAGTCTCTACCTCCATCAGGTGGGTCATAGTATTGAACTCAGGTCCTTAGATTGGCAGGTACCTTTCACCTGTTGGGCCAACTTGTCAATGCATTTCCGATTTTAAAAAAGTTTCATTACATGTATTTGATGTGCAAGGAATTATATTTTCTGCTGATATCTTCATGCAAGTGTATATTATAAATTGAGCATATTCCCTTTATGCTTCTCTTCCCTACCTTACCCTTTCTTACCCACTATGGTTAGTCCCACTTGTTTCTCTACATAATTGGACTTCTACTTTCAAGTGATATATAGACTTGTAATTTGATGTATCAATATAAAATCCAGGAAACATACAAGAGAGAAAATATACATTAATTGTCTTTCTGGTTGTTCCTGATTCACTTAATAACTCTAGCTGCATCAAATTTCCTGCCAATGACACAACTTCACTATTCTTTACGGCCAGTAAGAGTTCTGTTGTATGTATTCACCACATTTTCCCCATCCATTTCTCTGCTGCTGGGTACCAAGGCTGACTCCACAACTTAGCTACTAGGAGCAGTGCAGCAGTAGACATGGGTACAAGTGTCTCAAAGTGTGCTGGCTTTGAGTCCGCTGTGCAAACACCCAAGACTGGTACAGTGGTGGAGATCATGTGGTACATTTTTTTAAGAAGTTGCCACCCTGATCTCCAAAGTGGCTGAACTAGTTCACCCTCCTGCCGGCAGTGAGTAAGGTTACCTTCCTTCAGATTCTCATCAGCATTGGTTCATTTTCCTTTGAAATTCTAAATACAGGTCTTTCACCTCAAGTTAATCTCCAGGCTCTGAAACCTTGCTTAATTTACTGTGATTTGATCCTACCATAATTTTAAAATGGAAACAGCAACAGCAACAACAAAATGCTACAATCGAATATTTTATTAAAAATACATCAAGGCTCCTGATGTCATGAAACAATCAATATATTGCCATTTCCATCACCGCCTCCTTTGAATTAAACATCCACATGGACAAGGCACTGCAACAACCTGTTCTATGTATTTTCTCCAGCTTTACTGACAGACTGGATTATACAATACATCTTTATATACATTTTTATTTAACCTGTAGAACTACCTACTTTACCATGAGAAAACAAAGGCAGGAGGGAAACTCTCTCAACCTCACGTAAGCATAAGCAAGAGAAGGAAGACATGAACAGTATCTATGGTAGTGTGGACCCCTATGAGTCTGACCATCTCCCCCATCCACACACTGTGGATACCTTTATGTCTTCAAGTATCAGGTAATGGCAGAAAGGCTAAAACCCAGTTTGTTCTGAAGGTGAGCTCTCACGTGACCTCAGAAAAATGGGGAGAATTAGGGTAAGTCTACCGGGGTTCCCTCTGCAGTATCCCTGGCCCCAGGGAAGTCCTGGCTTAAGACATCTCCACATTTGATGTGTATACAACCCTTTGACATGAGTCCCACTCCCAAAGGTAACAAGCTGCACTAATGTGAAAGCGAAGTGTACAGAACTCACAGCTTAGGCACATGTGAGTACAGACAACCTCTACAGAGGAAGAAACTCTAAATGCCATTTAGTATCAAGACCACCTTTCTGAAGAACCTGTGCTTACTCAGGAAGGCTCCCCAGTGGAGTATATAGTTACCTGTGGGCCTCATGCCTTCCTTGCCTTTTGTGATTGGGAAAAGAGCAAATACAGTTCACAGGAACTCCTCTGAACTCTGAAATGTAAACTTTCTCAGTCTCTGACGGCAAACCAAAACCAGCATTAAAATATGAGTCTGATCTCCTGAGACAAAGGGTAGCTGGAGCTTAAAGGTCCATGCCTGCCTCTGCCTCCGTGCTCATTTAAGGAGGAAAGGCCATGGTAGCAGAGTGCATCTTCCCTGGGTGAGGCTGGGAAAATTAAACAATACACACCCATGCCCACTCCTCTCTGGGCAAAAGAAATGGCCTTGACCTGTGTTTAGATCTCTTCCATTTCTTCAGTTAACAATTACAGATTAGAGAAAACACTCTACATATATCAGATTCAACTAGCAACACTAAGTACAAGACAAACTTAAAACAACCAAAGGTGCTTCACCAACAAGTGATTAGACCACATAAAGTATGTTCTCAATCCTTCCACTATGAGGTATGCCTCTAGGAAAAGAAACTAGTGATGACTTATTCCTATGCCTCCCTCTACATGCTGCCCCGCACCTGCATTTACATATTTATATGTACATGATATCATCATATATAATAAAATATAAGTAAGTGTGAGAGGTGTGTGCTGTGTGCACGCTCGTGCATGCATGTGTCCTCCTTGCCATGAATTATCTGCACAATAAACATTTACTAGCCTCTTTGCATGGCCAAGAGTCTCAAGTGTTCCTGCCATGTTCAACTTCTGACCTTTCTGTAACATTCTCAACTCATTGTTTAATTTGCACCTAACACAAAAACACAGGCAAACAAGGCTGCTCTGTGCTTAAGGAGCCCCATGAAAATGTTTCTCTTGGCCTTGTCTTTGGCCACTCTGTAGCTCCTGGTTTGTAATTTATCAACTTCTTTACCTTTTCTTCCCTCCCCTACCTCTCCTTCCTCTTTCCAGCCAGGCCTAGAGCATCCTGTGGAGCTCACATTCTTCTCACTGCTTGAGTTTCCCTGGATGGTCCTTCATCCATACTTGACCATGTTCTCAAAGACATGTCAGAGTTCACATTAATCCCAGATTGAAATATCCAAAGGATTCCATTCACTTTGTGGATTTAGAGATATTTCAATCCTCAGCGTCCACAAATAACCTGATAACTTTCCTGTTAAGCTGTGTGTAGGCCTATATCTTGTCAAAGAATTAATGTCCCATTATCTAGCTTCCTACTCTAGAAACACGAGTCTTATATAGAACCATGAGTCTTATAAACTGCTATTAGTCACTACTCCCTACAGATTCTCTGATGCTTAAGTTTACACATCCCTATTCTGTTAACAGAAACTCTAACATCTCATTCTCTATGCAAACACTGTATGCAATCCATTTTGCGAGTAAAAATACAAAATTTTATTTGTGGCCTAATTTCAAGAACTATGTGAACTTTTAATAGCAATTGTCTAATACAGACATAATAGTCATAATATCCTTCTGTATTTTCTAAATGTTACGTTAAAATTTCATATTTTTTTAGAAACAAAAGCCAAACCAGGAACCAATTATAGGGGTCAGGGAATACAGGGGAGGGTCTGCAGGGTGGGAAATGAGAATAAAGGACAAGGTGACATATGTAAGAAAATGACATAATGAAACATATTACTTTATATGACAACTTAATGATAATAAATAGCAAACACACTACACTGGATAAAGTAAGTTTTTCTTTAAAGAAAAAAAATGAACCTGTAGAGGAAGGACACCATACCATGCAGCATTCGCGTATCTTGAGGACACCATTCCCATGTGTGATGAAGGCTTGGAGACAACCCGGGCGCTGGGGAGTCGGTACAAAGGCAAATCTTCTTGCTCTCTTCTTTGGGCAACAGCTGGAAGATCGACGAGCATGCCAGGACCTTGGGTATCACTGGGCATCATCATGCCTGCAGAATCCAGATGACAGGAAATCAACACACAGTGATTCAACATGTTGTTAATGATGCCCACTGTAGGCGTGACTCTCCAGCTAGGACATGGCTGACATTAAAGCACACATGTGAAAGCCTTAGTGCCAGGCGGCACCACTGAAGGGGATGGGCTGCCCAGAGGAAGGCTGCCTTTCCAGGGTGTCCTCACTTCCATCAATACCATTGTGTTATCAAAAGAACTCCCTTATGTTTTCTAATCATGCTGCAAGGTCTTCCTTTCTCACCCCCGGTCATTCTGGTCATGGGTACCCTAGTATTTATTCATTTAAACGAGATGACTCCCGTGGAATAACAACTAAGTAAGAACTCTTACAACTGGAAAGGCTTAGTTTAGAAATTCAAGAATTCTTTTGTATCTGTTGACTTGTTGGAATTTGGAGATAACTGCAAGAAAGAAAAGGCATTATCAACTATATTTTGAAAGACAAAATTCAGGTTAAGGAACTGCTAATTGTTATTTTGTATATGTATGTGCAAGAGGGGGGTGCACACCTGCCACAGTGCATGTGTGGGTCAGAAGACAACCTTTAGCACTCCATTTTCTTACGTCATCGAACTTTGTAGCAAGTACCTTTACTGCCGAGCCGTCCCGCTGGCCCAATTTTGTATACCTGGCCACTAAAGTATACAAATTGCCATAATTTAAATGTTTATCTTTTTTAGGTCAAGTTCCTACTGCTATTTTAATTCACTTATGTGGGCGGGTATACATGAGCGCACACCGATGTGTGCATGGGGCATACTTGGGAAGGCAAAACAAGACATCGGCTGGCTGCCTCTACCTCTTCCAGCCTTACTGTCCTGTGACAGGGGCTCCCACAGAACCAGAAGCTCACTACTTCATGCCCAGCATTTTATATAGATGTTGGATATTTTAACTCAGGCTCTTGTGCTTGCAAAGCAGGCTTTGTCTCCTAGTGAGTCATCTCCCCAGCCCCTTATGTGAATTCTTATTCTTTTTATCCCCCTCAGATTCACAAAGAACTATTTGCCTCACCTCCCAAGTGCTGGGATTAAAGGTATGTGCCACGAAAGACTCTTTTAAAAAAGTTATATGTATGTGGATGAATATGAATGCCCCACAGAGGCTAGAAGATGGCATCAGAATTTCTGGAGCTAGAGTTATAGGGGGTTGTAAGTGACCCATTTGTGGTGGGTGCTGGTCCTCTGTAAGAGCAGTAAGCACTTTTAACCACTTATCCATATTTTAACCACTTATCCATATATCTTACCTTAATTAAATTTTAAGGGGTGTGTGTGTGTGTGTGTGTGTGTGTGTGTGTGTGTGTGTGTGTGTGTGTGTGTGTGTGTGTATGGGGTACATCTGGCAGTCAGCGGACAACTTTCAAGAGTGGGTTCTCTACTCCATCTTATGGAAGGTCTTTATGTTCCTGTAGCTGCATGAGCTTCCAGGCAATTCTCCTCTCTCTGCCTTCCACCTCAGTATAGGAATACTGGGATTGCAAAGGCATGTCAATGCGTCTGCCAAGCTTTGGCTTAAACTCAGGTTTTCAGAATTAAATGGCAAGTGCTTTCACCCAGTTAACCATAACTGCGTGTGCATGTGTCCCTCCTTTATTATCATCTACATTGCTTGTTTTGCACAAGTATTTGTATGTGTGCATGCATATGTGCATGTTCACATGTATGGATGCACTGTGGGTTCGTCTGTGGAGGCCTGGGGTTGATGCGGTGTTTGTCTTGATCACTCTCCACCTTCCTTACACAGGCTGGGTCTTCTTTCTGAACCTAGTGCTCACTGTTACAGTCAGTTTGGCTGCACAGCTTCTGAGGCCTCACTGTCTGTGTTTCCTAAGCTCTGGAATCAAAGGTGCTGTCACACCAACCTGGCTTTTGCTAGGTTCTGAGGATCATAACCTTGATCCGCATACTAGCACAGCACTTTACCTGGGAACCATTTCCCAAGCCCCAGCCTCTTATCCATAACGTTGGTTTCTATTTAGAAGGACTCATAACCTTGAGGCACATTAGTAAGAAAAAGAGTAACAGCTTCAGACTCCAACCGGAGGCAGACTCGTATAGGGCTTGGGACACAGCTCAGTTGGTAGAACGGCTGCCTGGCAAGCATCAAGCCCTGGCTTTCATCCCTAGCACCACATGAACCAGCTGTAGGGTGCATACCAATAACCCCAGCACTCAGGAAGGGAGGCAGGAGGATCAGGAGTTCACGGTAATTCTCTGCTCCATAGTTTGAGGCCACCTGGGCTACTTTCCAGAAAGCAGAGTAATTACAGACTGAAAAGCAGCATGGTTGAAGAGCTGACTATGAACAGTTCTGTGCAGAGTCAACAGGCGATGGGAAACCTAGCAAGGTCCAGCTGTGGGGAACTTTGCTATCCAGGGAGGAGCCTGACTTGCGTGCCGGGAGCTTTCCTTACGACCAGCAGGGCCACAGCCTCACCGGCCTATGAGCCATAAATTGAAACAGTGTCCCCCATGACATCTTCTCTGAAATTTGTATTCTTGAAGAAAATGTGAAAGACTATAAATTATGAGGGGTTAGCTGAAAGCTCACAAATACGTAAGGAGATGGAATGCTAGTTGCATACCAATAAATAATGCAGTATATATCGAGGCAATATGGAACATGATACAGATTTTCATCAAGATTATTATTAAGGGCCATGGCTTAGTGGGATGTTGCTTGTCACCAAGTCTGGAAACCTGTGTGCAATCCCTGGAAGCTGCATGACATGACAGAAAGTACCGCCTGTGGCTCCTCATGAACAAGCATGAGTGGGTACACACACAAATAAATGTGAAAAAGAATCGGTTAAAGTTATTTGTACACTTGCTTTCTCAGAGATTTCTTTGGAAGTTAAGCAAGACGGTATACCTTTTAAAAAGACTTGATGTGTTTTATTCACCATTGTAGAAAATGTGAGGAGGAGTTATAAGTGGTTGAGCCCTTACAGGCCGGTTGTGGCTTTCAAATGTTCCTTCACATGTGGAGCATCCACTACCTGCCAGAAACTGATGAGAATGAAGTGCACAAGCTAGCCAAGCTCCTCCTGCACACAGAGCTAGCATTCCAGTGGCGAGAGATGAAAGAGCACCTGGACTGATGCTCAGAAGCCTTACCTTCTAGAAAGAAAAGCAAGCAATCCGTGGTACAGAAAGACATGGTGATTTCGGACACGCAGCCAGGAACCAGGAGAGTGGTGGGGACACGGTTCAAGGAGACGGCATGAAGACGCAGCTTGATTTGAAAAGGATGGAACTCAACAAGCATTTTGATTTGTCACCCAAACTAAAAGCACCGCTGCTCAGCAACATGTCAAATAGAAAGATGGGAGCCAGAAGGAGGCGACCTTTGAAACCAAAATGCAACTGAAAAAAGCCTGCAACTGAAACTCCCCCTGTAGCCACACTTGACCTGTTGCCCGCCTGCCTGGCCTGCCTGCCTAGCTCTGCCTTGCGGGCCCTAATATCCTCACTGTGCAGCAGAACCTTAAAGAGACAACAGGAAACCAATGTCAACCCTATCTCACATTGTGAACTAGGCTGTTAGGGCCAGGGTCCAAATATTTTCCCATTTTTCTCTATGTCACACCCTAGTCTTCCGGTAGGCTATGCCAGTCCCGATTTCCTCAGCCTCCTGGGTTTCTTGTATTTAATGGAGACATTAATTCCAGAATCAGGACTGCTTTTCATGTCTGCTCTGCAATCCAACATAGGGACCTCCCCTCTGTTGGGGAATATTATTTTAAGGTGTGTGACTTTTGTTTAACTCTGTGAAGCTGGGATTCTTTACCTGTCTAAATCACCTGATGGTCCTCATAAAGAGCTAAACGGCTAATAGCAAGGCAGGAACAAGGAGAGGCGGGGCTGGCAGGCAGAGTATAACTAGAAGGAGGAAGAGAGGCACAAGAGATCCAGGAGAGGAGGACATCAGGGGCCAGCCACCCAGCCACCCACGGAGTAAGAAGGAAAGTAAGATACAGAAATAAGAAAGATAACAGTTGAGAGGGAAAAGGTAAGTGGGATAACAAGTAAAGCTGACAAAAAACAAGCCAAGCTAAGGCTGGGCATTCATAACTAAGAATAAGCATCCGTGAATTTATCTGGGAGCTGGGTGGTAGGTCCCTCAAAAAACAAAAGAGTAAAAGCATCCACAATACTCCTCCATTTTCCTAAAATGCGTAAGACAGTTCAGAATGCCACCTGTGTTCTCCTCTTGTTTGCTCAATAAAAGAATAACAAGGCAGGCTGAGGAGGCTGTGGCCCACCAAGAGGCCTGCACCCACACTACTTACCATTAGTGTATTCATCACTAGAGTACATCTAGGACCCAATATACACTCTCAGCCAGTCTGTCCTCATGTTTGTGAGAACATGAGGCACTTTACACCAATGCCTTCCTTGAATCTGTGTCTTTATCATGTTTAAAGGCTTGACTCCCCAGAAAACTAGAACTAACCCGAGTCACAGACTGCACGACCTTTTCCTATGAACACCACCCACACCTCACCTTCAACAACCTGCCTAGGAAACGGCCACTCTATTGCTTTCCATCTAGTATGGAGACTGTAGAGACAGTTAATCATGTGGCAGTACAGCAGAGATGGGGCAAACAGAATTATCCCACGCAGTGCCTTTCCTGTCAACTGAGCCACCTTTACTGACAACTGCTGGGACTTCATATCTGGGTGCCCGGCAGCTCGAGGTGTTGCCTGTGCACCTCAGCTCAAAGGGTGGGAAAGCTGAGGTGGAGCAAGGACCCAGGCAGCGGCTGTAAGTGCATCGAACTGTCTACTTGCCAAGCAATTTCCCACACAGTCGCTGCTCTGCTGTACAAATTCATGCAGGTTCGTTACAACTTCTCTCGCCTGCTGCACAGGCCCTCTGCCCACTGCCACCTCTCTGGCCCTTTGCCAGCACACAAATGCCCATTTCTCACCTCTCACAGTGTTCGTCACATACTTTATAGAGCTGTTCTCCATGTACACCCAGAACCTGCCAGTCCATGAAACAAAGCATGTCCTGGAGCCCTACACAGTTGTTGGACAAAGGCTGCAATGGGCGCAAAGGTTATAAAAACAGGGAGGGTGAAAAAGGCCCCTGGAAGTTAATGCTTATAGAAGAGGAATGGGGGAAATTTTCCAAACCCTTATAGCTGGTGAGGTGCAAGAAGGGAATGTACAGAGAAAAAGCAGGGAGAGCCTGAGCAGAGAAAAATGGGTGGTTGCTTAACTCAGCAACAGAAACAATTGGATGTACTGAAGAAACAGACAAGCAGCATGTTGCCTTCTCACTTGACAAATACTACTTCTATACACACTGTGGTAACAGCCAGTGACAAGCCTCGCCCCTCAGGAACTCAGCTTACAGTAAGAGACTGGTCCGAAAATGGGCGCAGAGGAGAGAAATCCCTCTGGAGTGGGCAGCAAGATGGAAACAGAGCTGTTTCTTTCCTAGCATCTTGGAATATCGATACATTATTGTGATGCCCATTTGGAATTCATCTTCTTATCTTTCATTATGAATCATGCTCACTGACAAGTTTGCTTTTCATGGAGAACGAGGGTAAGTTAAACAACATTTGTTGGTATGCCTTTTGTTGCTGTTTATGTTGGTGTGGAAACCACCATGGGTTCTACTACTACTACTGAGTCACATCTGGAGCCCAAAGTCACTATTTCCGGTTAACCACAGGATTGTGAATAGCTCATTATACATAGGTTATCAATAAATACTTGTCCTATAAATCTAAGAAGGTTTGTTATAGATGGAGTGCACAGTGAGCTACAGATTTGAACGGGGTTCCAAGACTCTCAGATCTAATCTGACTTTACGGCTGAGGAAAGAGGGCCTTGGAGAAGCTGTGGGCAGATCAGTAGCTTAGGACAGAGGAGCCTGGTATTCAGATAGGGCCTGCTGTTTGCTGAGCAAAGATCTCAAGAGAAAAATGCAAATAAGAATGGGATCAGCTCAGTACACAGGCTGCTGGGATATGTACCAGCTCACATCAATATCTTCTTAGGCCAGCATGGTGAGCACCAATCTAGGTACGCCTGTCACAGCACACTCTAATGAATGTGCTTATGAATGGTTCCTGAGCGAGGATAAGTCCAAGATACATAACTTTAGCAACAATTCCCAAATAATATTGTCAAGAATAACTACCTTAGGGCCTTGCAAAGTTGAATGGTATTCCCCCAACTCCTCTCTGAGAATCTGTAGATAATGATTTATAGGGGAGGAATGTCATTTTCTTCAGGAATGTAGCCACCGACAAGTTGTCCATGCTCCTATAAATAGTGGCCCACCCATGTTTCTGTAAGAAACCCTAATGAATCTCAATGGGTCACTGGGGAAAAATACATCATGAAAATAGAAAGGGGACAGTTGGAAAGAGGAAGAGGATCAATAGGAATGAGAGTGGGACAGGACAGCAATGCAGGTGAATGACTAAAATACATTATACATCCATTTTAAAATATAATATACCCAGTATATTTAATTAACATATGGTAATAAAAATCAAGAATAAGGTATAGAGCCTTTGAAATGAAGACCCCAAACCTGTGGGGAAAGTTTGTTTTCATGCACAGTCATGCAGAAATATAGTTGAAGGATTTGATCTAATGGTAATAAACTAGACAGGATTGGGAGGGAGGGAGGGAGGGAGGGAGGGAGGGAGGGAGGGAGGGAGGGAGGGAGGGAAGGAGGGAGGGGGAGGGAGGGGGAGGGAGGGGGAGGGAGGGAGGGAGGGAGGGAGGGGGAGGGAGGGGGAGGGAGGGAGGGAGGAATGGAAGAATAATATGGCTCCAAGCAGTGTCAAGACACCTATAACAACAGAGACCAGGCCAGTGTGGTCTGTTCATTCTTGTCATACACCATGAACAAGTAATTACTCATCAATCAAAGAAGCACAGAAATGGGGTGAACTTTCAGAAGTAGACTTCCTATAGGTTGAGAAGGATAAAAGCTCTATTTTCCTCCCAGCTATGAGTCTGAAAAGGTACACACACTCATCTTATCACAGGGTTTTATCTAACCAGCATCATCACTGCACAGCTCTCTCTGACTGCTCCATTCTGTAGATGCCACCGAACACACTCATAACCTCACACCACACTGTCACCCCTTTCTGAAGCTGTCTCCCCTACGTGTCTGATACGTGAAATGTCATCGCAGTGGGCTTCTCCCCAAGCAAAGTCTAACAGTGAAAGACAGCACAGATCCTGAACAGCTCTGAGTCCTGGGGTGAGGACAGAACAGTCTCACCCACAATCTCAACAGTGGAACAACAGCCAGTATTTCACTGTTGGATCAATTAAAAAAATCTTTTAAAGTCGAGCCTTCAAAAGAATATGAAAGTGGCTATTCCAGAGTGGCAAAGCGAGGGATAATACTTCAGAACTCTCTAATGGAACCTAAGTTATTAATGTACTAGAATCAACTATAGTTTATGGTGAAGAAAATGCTTCATAAATGTTTAAGATGTGCACCTCTTTATCAATATTTAACAGCCCCATCCCATGAGCTAGCAATCCCACTTAATAGCATTGGAGACGTTAGCATATATCAGTAGAGACATGGCTGATGTAAGGGAGTAGCCTCCCTTCCAATCTGTGCTGTGATGCAAAGCAGATGCGGCAGAGAGTATGCAGCCTTCTCAGTGCACAGAAATTGAAAGATAAAGTCGAAATCTCAGCCAAAAGAGATAAACGGTTTTAAAATCAAAAAACATAATGAGGACATGGAAGGGATTGGAGGCGGAAAAAAAAGGGGGGGGGGAAATGATGCAATTATGTCTTAATTTCAAGAAATTAAAAACAGCATGAACGTAAATGTGACAGTATAATACACTGTATATACAGCAAAGCACAAGGACTGCAAATAATCTAACGTGTGTGCATTAGAAACGAGGCCCACAAACCTAAGTCCAGGCTGTTGCTCGTCAGCGAATGAAGATGTTGCGCGTCATCAAATCTGCTGTGCTGGCCATTTCCTTCCGAGGACGGCAGGGGTGGCAGGGGATCAAGGCCAAACGTCTCTTTCATCTGAAAAGGAAGAAAACCAGAAATTCAGCGTGATAAGAAGCAATGAAAACCCTATGTTGTTCAAACCAGACGATACTGAGCTACAGGCTGCTGGACACACCACACTCACCCCGGGGGTTACTCTGTCATGAGCTGTCACGAGCGCTGCATGAACCCAGACAGGGACACCTGGAAGTTTACTTAGTAAGAGTTTCCTAAGTATCAACAAATGGATATAAATGAGCATATTCCAGAGCAGACAAAAGACCTGGCCCTCAATCGAGTGGTGATATACAGCATCCTAGATGTTCTGACACAATGTCCTCATTGCTGTCTCTCAGCCTTTGCCCTGCTTCCCTAGCACTCCTGTCCCGCTGCTATACTCATTGTTTTTCAGACAGAGTCTCACTGAGCAGCCCAGGCTGGCCTTGAACTCTCTCTCTCTCTCTCTCTCTCAGCCTTCCAACAGCTGGATTATAGGCACACAGCAGATGCCTGTCATGTGGATTGGCCCAAACAGAATTTACAGGTTGACCAGCACTGATGATGACTTACTGCCCTTTCCTCCTGTCTTCCCTTTATAGCATGCCTTTTACATTTTTCTTTTTTAAGTTATCCTCTGTTGGAATGTTAAAACACTTGTGCCTTCCTAAAGTCTTATATTAAATCAAACTGTTCAAGAATTTATATATTGCAATACAGACTTTAAACTGCAGCACAGCAGGGACGGAAGGATCGCTTTGACCTTCCAGCTGTTTCTTATGAGAAGACAGAATCGAAATCCCTTCGTGAAAGACTTCCTTCCTGAAACCTTAAGCCTCTCCCTAACACTAAGTCATACTCCCACAACTTATTATTTCTTGGCAATTCCGTATCTGAGTACCTGACTCGATAGCTTCTTTGGGTCCTCCCTTATGGGGCTCCCATGCTATATAAACCTGTGAAGTAAATATGTTTGCTTTTCTCTTGTTGATCTATCTTAATGCAATTTAATTTTAGGGCTATGAAAGGATGGAAACAGGATTTGTCTGCCTCCATAGCTCCCAAATAGAGATGTGAGGAGGCAGGCCTCCAGCAAGGTGATCAGGTCATGACAGCCAAGACATTATGAAAGAAATCAGTGATCTGAAAGAAAAGGCCAAATGAGAGATTTCTAGATAATCCCTTATAGAAACTTCCGCTTAGGAATTCTAAATCGAGACCTTTCCAAGCATCCTGACACCCAGGCTTTAGACCTCTCAGCCTCCAGAGGGTAACACATGAATTTCTAATGTTAACAAAGCCACCACAGTAAATGCTATGCTTGTTATAGCAGCTCACAGTCATAGATATACAACATAATTGTCATAAATTTCTATGAGCATGAATTAAAGGTTTATGCTCACTGCAAAAGTATATTTAACTAATTTAAGAGAATAGCTTTTTTTTTAATGTTTGGTTTTACTTTTTGCATTCAGAGTCCAGCACTATAAGACTGGTTAGCCTCAATTTGTGATCCCCCTGCCTCCAACTCCTGACTGCTAGAATTACAAAACTGCACCACCATGCAGAGTACTACTGGTTTTTATTGTTGGAGATTTTGATGTTTCAAAATAAAAATAGGAAGTTTAAATTTTCCACTTTCTATAGAACTGTAACAGTCAGACTTCAGTGGTAGAGAAGGCATGCTGATGAACTGTTAGGCTAAATCCTGTCAGCTTTCCCAAACAAAACAAATTATGGTCACAGAGAAGGACATAACATCAGCTACCCAGTAGAGTCGACAATGCATCATGCAACTCAAATATTACATGGGGTGAGCAGTAAGCACAGTGTGACTACCTGTCTGACTGGACTTCTCAGAGAAGGGAAAGGAGGAAATAGAAGGCAGTACTTAAAAAAGGAAAACATTTTGCAATATTTTGGGTTGATAGGGATATTTCATACTGTCAGTGGCAATTCTGTTAATAGTAATTGGAAAGCAAGAAAAATCACCTCAAATGTGGATTTCAGTAAAGCAGACTTGAATTTTATTAATTATTTTATTTTATGTGTTTGGGTGTTGGCCTGCATGTTTATCTGTGTCCCTTGGTGTCTGCCTGGTAGGTACTGAGAATGAACACAGGTCCTGCAGAAGAGCAACCAGTAGTCTTAGCTGCTGAACTATCTCTCCAACCCTCAGTAAAGCAAATCTGAATAGTTAAATCTTCAGAAAATTGAATTTGGGTTTTTGTTTTATAAATAGACAAAAAAAATGAATATATTGTCAGTCTGGTAAAGAATTCTGAAGCCAAACAAACAAAAAACAACCCTCCAACAAAAAACACAAGACCTTTAAAAAGCGGGCAGCTGGTTACAATGTAGGTTTTCCACGGAACATATTGGATCAATGAGCACATAAAAAGATGCTAAACGCTACTAATCACTAATTAACGAAACTCAAATCAAAGTCATAATGAATTACATGTGGTGGTGCATCTATGTAATCTCAGCTCTACATCCCAACACTCAAAGAAGTCTAAGGCAAGAGAATCTAGAACTCATAGCCAGCCAGAGTGCTTTTTAAACCTGAAATGTCGCAACAGGGTATTTTAAGTGTGTGTGGTGACAGTCTGAAGACTGTGAAACCTTAAGGAGGCAGGACCTTGGCTGACAGCAGCTGGTCACTAGGGAGGAGCCTCTGAGGGCTCCAGTCACCTCTGGTTCCAGCCTGTGTTTTCTGTTACCTATTCACACTACCACTGAATAAGCCTCCCCCACACATTCCCTGCCAACAAGAACTGTTCCCACCATCATGCCTACCCGGCTATGCTACAATAAACGGGTAGAAATCACTCCAAAACCCTGAGCCAAACTAACCCTCTCTCCTTTAGATTTTCTGTTAGGTGTCTATCCTCTCCTCTCCCAACAAAAAGACAACTAACTAACCCACTGGGTTATTGGCAAGACACCATCTCAAATCACACAGTAAGCCACACTTGCTACTTACAAACACAAATTTTAAAAACTCAGGTCAACCAGCATTAACAAGGGTGCCAAGAATCAGGACACTTTGAACATTTCATGGTACAACTGTTCCTATAAAAACTAATCCTGACGCATCCAATGACATCAACATGAGGTCACAACCAGAGGATGAAGAACTCAGGCCCATGCTTGCCCTAAGGTTCTTCTCAAGGTCTTTCTTTTCTGTTGGTTTGTAAGTCAGGGTCTCACTCAGTAATCATGCCAAATTTACTATGCGGTAAAGGCTGATCCTGAACTCCGGACCCTCCTGCCTCTACCTCCCAAATGATGGGATTGCAAGCACCTGGCTCTATATATCCCACCATGATCAGCTATTCCCAACACATGGCTAAGGGCCACTTCCATTCACACCCATGCTTTACATGCCCCACAAGCATGCAGATTTCATTTACAATGTTTAGCATTCGTTAGCTCTGCAATAATTCAGACAGGGTACTTCCCACAGAATACTTGCCTAATAAGTATTTCCACTAATAAGCTGAGCCAACTCCTGCTGTAGGACTTCAAGACCAGGAACTTTATACTCTATAGACTAATCGTAATTTCTCTCAAAAACCTGCGCTGGAGTCCTTGAAAATGCTTACTGGTCACTGTGACCTGTGCATTCCCATAGTAATGCTGTCATTCTCAAATAAACAAGAGGATCCTTTGGGATTTCCAATTGTGATTTAGGCGGGCAACCTAACAGAACTGAAAACAAGACTTGAACAGGTATTTCTGCACCAATATCTATAGCAACATTATCCATGAATAAAAGTAGAGGTCTGGAGACATGGCTCTTTTGAGGGCTATACTGATCAGCCGAGGCTTTCCCTGGGGCCCTGATGTATAGAGAAGAAAGTTCCTTCTCTAAAACCAAGAATATGACTTGGCAAAGCTAGTAATGGTCTGAGGCCAGGGACTTGGGGGAACTATGGCTTCAGATCCCAAGAACCCAATCAACCTACCATATTTGGCTCTGGTTATCAGTCCCAAAATTGCTGTGTGCTCAATTTATAACGCTCTTGAGATGCACTGTGTTGCCCTTATGCAACACTGTTTAATTAGCTTCCTACTGACTTGATGGCAAACTGATTTCTCTGTCCCATGTCTCACCTAGAAATAGTATGTACAGTGCCATACTTAGTAATAAGCCAGTTTGGCCTAAGATACAGTTTGTACAAGACCTCCCAGCTTGTATGAGAAGTTCCAGACTTTCTATCTTCTCTACCTTCTGTTATTATCTTCTGATCCTGTGGTCCTCTCTCTCAGGACCCTGTCACTGAAGAACCATCTGCTGGTCCCGGCCATGGCTTGGTAGCTCAAGGCACTCACAGCTCTTATAGAGGACCCGAGTTCAGTACCCAACACATATGTGGAAAGTCAAATGTGGCACATGTGAGAACATTCTCTGAAACTATGAGTTGTTACAAAGACAACTTTAGCCTAAAGATATCACATAATTTGAAGATGCAAAAAGAAGCACTTCTTAGTTAGAACTTTCCTCACATGACTGAAAGCAGCAGCTTCAGCTGTCCAGTGCACTTGCTTATGAGCTCAGAACCTGAGAGCCAGGGACAACAGAGGCAAGTTGATTTCCAGACTGAGGACAGCTTGATCTACACAGTAAAACCTTGCCTCAAAAAAATGCAAAGGTAGGGGCTGGAGAGATAGCTCAGCAGTTAAGAACACTGACTGGGTTCAGTTCCCAGCACCCACATGGCAGCTAACAACTGTCTGTAACTCCAAGATCAGACAAACATGCAGGCAAAACATGCATCGGTGCACAGACAATAAAAATAAATTTAATTTTAAAAATACCCTGTCTGTTAAAAAAAAAAAAAAGCAAAGGTGAGGGGTGGGGGTGGGGGGAGCTGACAAGAAGGCTTGTGGAAAACAAGTTGTCCCACATCTAGCCAGCTGGGCCTACTCCCAGAAATAACAGTCAGCCTAACATGCACGCCTACACGCCTGAAGACACAGCACCTGTGACACCCAAAGAAATAAGCACTGCCACATCTCACGATTGGCCCCTAAAAGTTCATTTGTGTTTCCTAAACAAACCTATTTGTTCTACCCACAGAAACCTTCTCTTGTTCTCTGCAATTGTCTTCTCTCACTTTAAATGATATTCTCCTAGGTCTGACCTGAAAGGGGCAGAAGAAAAGATTTCCCACTGAGACATGCAGGGTGAATTATTCTGCCTTAATGAGGATGTCTGACATACACTGCAACATGAATGAACCTTGAAGAGCTTATGCTGTCTGACATACACTGCAATATGAATGAACCTTGAAGAGCTTATGCTAAGTAAAATAAGCCAGACATATAACAATGATGCTCACAGCTTCCCTTCTATGAAGTAGTCAATTCTTAAGCAGAAGGAAGAATGTCTTCTAGTGCCAGGCAACGACAGGCAAGGGGCAAGGGGCAAGGGGCAAAAGGAGGGCATTTCTTGTTCAGTGGTCTCTCAGGGTTTCTGTGTAGGAAAATGGGGTCCTGGAATGGACAGAGATGGTGGCCACACAAGAGTGTAACTGCATTTAATGCCCCGAAAGTATCTAGTACAGACATTAACACAATTAACACAATTGGGGAGGGGTGGAGATCCAGAAACTTTCATGGTTCACCTTTTAACTAAAATAAGAATCTGTAGGTGGTGGAGATTAGACATTTGAACTTCTTGGGTATTATTTGTATATCACAATTATAGCCTTACAAAGACAGAAGCAGTAATGGTCCTCTACACTCTTGAGGGCAGTCCCTAAATAGGTGCTGGGAACTACATGCCCATACATATATATAACTATATGAATACAGCTTTAAATCCTCCCAGGGATTATAATGTATACGTTTAATACCTTAGTTCAATCCTAAATTAGAAATTTACAAGTACCAGAATTACACAGGTAAGAAATTCCATTATGTGACTTCATATAACACAATATAGGCCTCTAAAAATACTGTACAAAGTATTTTTATTTTTATGTGAAGTATCTATAAATTTCAGGATATACAAGTACATATGAGACAAACAAATTCTGGTTTGGGACTTAGTTCTCACTCCTAACATATTCCATTGCATAATGCGAATCCTCCAAAAATCTATACCACTTCTGGAACTAAGTGTTTCGAGTCAGGAACACTCAACCTAAACTGGATCATGGGTTTCATGACTAAGTTATGGTTTCCTGAGGACCATCAGTACTGAGAAGCAAATAAAGACCCAAGCCTACCCGGTCATCACTGAAGAAGGGGATTAATGCCAAGTAAAAAGATGTAATAATTTGAAGAAAATCAAGTGATAGTTGTTTAGAATGTATTTGAGCTGACACAATCTTCATCAATATATCCTGTAACATTAAATCATACAATTCAGTGTGAGAAGAAAAATTTAACATCTTCAAGATTTTGAAACACAAATGGTTAAGTGTAAACACTATGAACACCTTGTTTGGCTATTTTAATCCACAGCTTTAACAGCTTAGTCATGAAAATGGACCAGTTCTTTGGGCTGAATTTTATTTGGAGGTCTAAGTTACTCTTTCTATATAAGAAAGAATGACTGAATTAGTGAGGCAAACCGGATGGAAGTCAGGCCCTGTGCTGGTTTCAATGAGGACGTCCCAGCAGCACAGCTGGTTGAATATTTGACCCCTTTTTTGGTAGTGCTGCTCAGTTAGGGTTAGGACATATGGCCTTGCTGGGGGAGAGCTTTGAGATTTCAATGCCAGGTGCCGTTCCCAGTGTACTCTCTCTCTTCAAGTCTAAGATCTAAGCCCTCAGCTCTCTAGTCAGGTGGGCCTGGCTGAGTGTGACACAAAGAACAGTACAACAAGCGGTTAAGTATTTCTGCTTCAGTTCTGGCTTGAGTTCCTGCCTCGACTTCTCTCAACGATGGACTGTGACTTGGAAGTATAAGCTGAAGCAAACCTTTCCTGCCCTATGCTGATTTTAGCCAGTGTGTTTCATCACAGCAGCCAAAAGCAAACTAACAAGTACAAATAAAAGAACTGCTGTATCTCAAACGAGCTGGATAAAAATGCAGATTATGTATTTGGGAAAGTGTTGAATGATCTGAAAGGGATTGTTGTGAACAGAGATGTGGGCACTAAATATGCACTGAAATAATTTGAATGAGATTATAACTAAAGGCACATATATGCAAAAATTAGCCTGATAAAACTTTAAGATATGAATGTTTGACTAGATGTAGTGAGTAAATATTCTGAATATCTATTTTTATATTTCACCTCTCACCTTAAAGTCTAAGTAGCAAACTGGAAACTGGACCAGTATTTCAAATTGTCTTTTATTTAGATAAATACAAACTTTTTTTTATGGGAAAAAGCAGCCACAGCAAGAAAGTGTGCACATGTTCAGCAGTCTATGTAAGTGAATATTCAGTGTGAAACTGAGCACTTAGGATGCAGGGAAGGGCTGGCAAAGAGTGAAAGCCATTGCCATTGGAGTACACCAGGCAATTCTGTGTCACTACTTCCCATATCCAAGATCATTTACAAATTGAAAACATCTGTTCCCTGGTAGGCTGCCCAGAACCTTCTGCTGGGGGGAATCTTGAGGCTTCATCAATACAACTTGGATAGCACCTTGCCCAGCAGAGGAACCCACAGAATTTGCAGTAGTGAAAGAGATGAAATGTCCAAGGATGGCAAGGGAGAAGACCCAACCTCTACTTGCTTTACTCATCACAGAGAAAGGGATCAGACTAAGCTCAGGGAGTAGGGCCTGTGTGTGAGCACAGCACCAGCATACCTTATAGGATACCCTCCAGGGCAGGCAAAGAGCACATGCTCAGCTTGCAGAGGATCCTGGTTTGATTCAGAGTCCACATGGCAGCTCACAAGCATCTGTAACTCTGTTCCAGAGGATCTGATACCCTGTTCTAGCCTCTCCAGGTACCATTCATGGACACAGTGTACATACACACATGCAGGAAAAATATCTATACACGTACTAAAACTAAAACCAGACTTAAATAAATAGAAACACCAACCAAAGTAACTATCTTTTCATTTGTCTGAAAATTAATTCAAGCCAGAATTAACTAATTAATTAATTTAAGAAAACATTAAAAATTCGACAGGCAACTAATTAAGTATAATTTTATTTTAAATCAAGTTTACTGGTAATTTAATAGTAAGGATAAATGTATGAAAAGGTAATGCTTCCTGCCAAGTTGGAAATAGGCAGAGTCTCAAATCTGAGCATAATTTTCTGGCATTCACTACTGATGCATCACATGTAAGCAGAGAGAATGCTGTGAACAGCAAAGATCTAAACAATAATATACTCTGTGTTTACCCGAACAAACATACTTTATAAGAAACACATAGCCCCGTTTTCCTAAGGGAATTTAAAAGAAAATCTTAATGACTAAAAGAACTCTTTATTGAACTGAGAAATTAGAAGAAAAATGTCACACACACACAAAACATAGGAAAAAACACTCAACCAGGAAGTTAACCACAGATGTGATATGGGATGACCTCATGCGCACAGCTACACTGCTGGCCGTGCATCTTGTAAGCCATCCTAACGGTGAAGAGCCTGTTTCGTTTCTGCTTTATCTGGGGAAGTAATGTGAGGGAGGGAGGGCCAGAGCGGGGAGGAGACAGAGGCTGTGCAGCAAGGCCATACCATGTCTGCAGTGCTGTAGCTATACTGCTGCATCTCCTGGGAATATTCGCTCCTCATGGACTCTGCATCGGGACACTCGGGTGCTTCCCCTCCGGAGAGGGTGGCAGACAGCCACTGTGTGTCAACCTGGAGCTCCTGTCTCGAAGGTGCATGTGTGGCCTCCTGAATGTGTGGTGCTGGGTGGAACTCCATGGCCCGGAGGTGATCTTGATAGAGTTCATATTCCTCATCAACAAGCATCTCTCTTTCCTCACCCCCTCCCTCCAGGTGAGGGCTCAGAAATTCATGCATTTCCCAGGCTTCTGAGTTGATGTCCTTTTCTTTTTGTTGGAACTGTAAAGATTTTCCCAAATCTAGAAATGGTTCGTCCACAAGTTCTTCAAGATATGGCTCATCTCTAAATTCCTATAAATAAAAGTTTTTTTAAAAAAATGTTAAGTTCCACTTGTCTTAAAGCCGCACTTTACACCTCAACCCCAAAAAGTGCCAACCTAACTGCAGTGCACAGCCTTAGTCAAGGCATGATCAGAGTCAACTGCTCTTCGGCACCACCAAACGAGAAGCCGCAGCCCATTATGCACAGCCCAGAAACTGGACATGGAATAAAGAGGCAGAAGCCCCTAACTACCTAATAAATCAACACCACCATGAGGGATTTTGTTAAAGTGCTACACCAAATATGCAACTTGTCCCTAACACAAAACGTACTTCATGCTTAAGGCAGCAAAGACTGAAAAGCTCAATGTGGTCAAGTCTGAATGACTCAAAAGAAGTCAACGATATCTGAATGTTCAAAACACATTCTCTTATTTTTTGTAGGATAGGCGATTGAATCTAAGGCCTTGCACATGCCAGGTAACATTCTTCTGCTGAGCTATACCTCTAGCTCTTAAAAAATAAACAAACAAACAAAAAAACACCCTTCATAAAGACATAGCTATATGCCTCAAGCACTTTGTATAATTTGTTTTTAATAAGTCATGTAGTAGAAACAAGATTTTCACGACACTGAGACTATGATAAAGAGGAATGACTACAGCGTGGTTTTTGCTGAGCCTCTGCCCTAACTCTGGGGAGTCTGTGACTGTTGAGTACAGAGGCCTAAGTCCCTGCAGATCAACACTCCTCCCTATTGTAAACCCCACCCATTAAACAGTACCTAGTGTAAATTCTGACAATCAAGTGCCCCTCTGCTTTCTTCTTACAACTCAACACCATATGGTGACAATTCATATTGAAAGAGTGAACAGATATTGCAACCTGATTCAAAACAGTCACTTTAACACAAAATGACTCAACTTTTAAAAGTGTGATAGACATTGTGGGAATGCCTATCAGCCTGAAACACTGCATCTATGTCAGGAATGTCACTAAACAACTGCTATCAAGTAAAACAAAGAAGACAGTATTTTGGGAACAGAAGGGGAAGCTCAACATATACTGTCTATGATTACAGTATCAAAGGGGTTTGAGTAGGTAATCTTCTTTGATAAGTATTCAATTATGAAACTGCATGTTTAGCTCCATTTCTATACCATTTTATATGGATGTCTGTTTTCCATTATATATTCTTTCTCCCGAATTGTAGGTTTATATTAGTGCTTAAAAGCGTTGTTCTTTTGCACGTATTTTTACATGTATTTACTAATTTGGGCTGGATGAAGGTGTATGCCCTAGCAGATATCTGGAGATCAGAGAACAACTTGTGGGAGTCAGCTTTCTCCTTCCACCTTGTAGGCTCCAGGACTGAACTCAGGTCAAGCTTGGTGGCAAGGGCCATAACTGAGCCATTCTGCTAACCCCCAGTATTTGTTTTTTGAAAATGCCTTACATTTTTTTTGTCATTTAAAGAGACAATGTAAGACTAAATGAAAAAAATATTTAAAAAAAACTAATTAAAGAGAGGGAACCCCGGGGCTGGAGAGATGGCTCAACGGTTAAGAGTAGTGGCTGCTCTTCCAGAGGTTCTGACTTCAATTCCCAGCAACCACATGGTTGCTTACAACCATCTGTAATGGGATCTGATTCCCTCTTTTGGTGTGTCTGAAGACAGCTCACTCATATACATAAAATAAAAAATAAATATTAAAAAAAGAGAGAGGGAAGCTAGTAGGACATACCTGTGTTTGCAGAGGTGTGTGTAGGTAGGGTATTTAATTTGTATCTGTTTATCCGAGTGAGTGAGTGGGGACAAATGTGTGTTTTTACTGTAACTTTAACTTACAAAAAAAAATCATTCAAAGGGCAAATAATTTTACCAAATACCTTGGGTGCCTCAAGGATTAAAGATGACTGTATGTCATGAACAGTTTCTGAAGGCTCACTGTTGTCTTCATTGTTGTTTGAATGTAAAATAAAACTTTCTTCCTTCTCATCTTCCTGAAAATAAAAACCAATTTATGATCAAGAAAATCCTTCAGCTTCAACTCCTCTTACTCAGATAGTTCTCATCCAGTGCAATCATTCAATGAAGTCCCACATGACAAAGAAAACAAATCTTAGGCCAAAACTGATCAACTCTTAAGTGTTCTTTAATGAAAAACCAGTCACCCAGGAAAATCTCTTGCAGATACAGCTAGGACGTGATCTCTGCACCAGGCATGGGCTTAGGAACTTTAACACTCATGTGCTAGTTACTAACAGGCACTCTAAGAAGAGTTCGCATTACTGATGAGGAAAGGGCACCATTTGTAGTAGCCACCCAATAGTTACATATCCAGAATCTGACTCCAGAGCCAGGGTTCTCAGTTACCACTCTATGTAATCCCCATTTACAGCTCAGTAAGGTGGATAGTGGGGAGAAAAGGCCTCACAGTTCACAGCCTTGGAACCACAGAGTAAGGCATAACTCCACAGCCAAGGGTTCCCGGGCCAGTGTGGTAAGCCTAGTACCAAAGACACAGTGCGGTTTTTAAAGCCAATTCATTGTTGTTGTTTTTTAATCCAGTCGGTTTGAAGTAAGTTTGTAGAAGAAAAGGTATATTGCTGTCATGGATAAGATTGACTGTGTATCATGTAGTTCTATGAGAATAGTTATTATATGGCTTAATATGACAGAAGTAATTCTGTTCTGCTACACATCTAGTCTTTCTGCTGAAGCTTGGCTTTTCTTACATTTTTCCTGCCTCCACACAGGCATCTACCACCATGCACTATTTATTCCAAGTTCTCTACCATCCCAGTCACTTTCCCTTAATCTTGTCCTCCCATGCGTAACTACCCTGGCAGCCTTGGACTCTGAGGAAGAACTGTGCAGAGCCCACAGAGTGTGGCTTACATGCACCTCTAACTACAGCTCCAGGGATCTGATGTCCTCTTCTGGCCTCTGAGAGCACTGCACTCAAATGCAAAAACCTCACACACCTATACACTGAGTTTAAAAAGAAGAAGAAAAGAAACTTGCATGGGGTCAAACATATAGGAAGCAACATGGGACAGATTTTTCATCCAGGCATAGTTTCCCCTGGTCCACGTTCTTTACTGTATAGTTTTATTTCCCTTATTAACACAATTCAAACCTTATAGGAGAGGCATATTTATCTTCCAAATTCATGTCACTAACTACTGCACTGTTATCACTTCCTATATTAACTGAGTTCAAAACTTACCACCAAAGGCTTACAGATGCCAAGATGTACAGCACCTGGGGGCACAGCCTTCAACACTTCCACAGCCTCAGCAAGTGTGGCATTGTCCAAAGAGAACTCATTGACTGAGACTAGGCGATCTCCAGGTAAAAGCTCTCCACTTCTTTCTGCTACACCATCTGCTACCAAGGAGCGAATCACAATAACTGACCTTGTGGGATCCAATGGGTCCTACAAATTAAATGAGAGAAAGTTGGGTCCTTGAAAATAACTATGCAACCTTAAGAAAGCTTATTTGACACTCTATAGAGGTTTAAATAATGAAAATATCATTCTATATACCTTATAATATCAGCTTATATCGTGGTGACGATGTAAGCTTAACAGCTTCATCTGCATGTCTGAGTGCTCAAAACATGTAAATTTGTCCTTTAAACATTTGGTGACTGACCACAAGAGATCTGAGAACAGTTAGGCAAGATTCTCTGACACTTTGAAGCCATAATTACACTGACAAAAACAAGGACCTCTATGACTCCCCATGGTCCATACATAGGTTCTAAGAGGAAGCTTACAGTGGGAAACAAAACTCCAACATTCAGCTGAGCAAATACAGCATCCTTCTATGAAACCACAAGCTCAGAAGAAGAAGAAAAAAAAAGTGTATTTAGGGTCGGGCGGTGATGGCGCACGCCTTTAATCCCAGCACTCAGGAGGCAGAGGCAGATCTCTGTGAGTTCGAGGCCAGGCTGGACCAACAGCCTCCAAAACAATACAGAGAAACCCTGTCTCATAAAAAAAAAAAGGTGTATTTAGGAGCTGGAGAGATGACTCAGCAGTGACGAGCACTCGTTTCAAAATCACAGGAAACAGGGCTTGAATCCCAGTACTTACATAGCAAGTTGGATGTTGCTGCAAATACCTATAACCCCAACTCCAAGTGGGGCAGACACAGGAGGATTGCTGGCTTCTAGCCTATTGGAGAAAATGCCAGCCCAAGGTTCAAGGAAAGGCTCGGCCTCAAAGAAAAAAATCAGGAATGACAGGAGAGCACCTGGCACTTTCTTCTGGCCTCTGAAATGTACATAAGTATTTGTACCTTATCTACACATACACTCATATACACACAGACACACACGCAAACATGAATAAGTCTTCTGTGGTAAAGTGCTTCTCTGGCATAGAAGTAGCTTCACCACACTAACAACACACAAACATGTATGTGCTTATAGTACATATTTTAAAACAATCAAAATTATGACAGAGTTTAGTGGCCTGATAAGAATGATTCCAATATAGATAAAGGAAATTCATGAGCAAGCCAATATGAAGATATTTCATCCAGTGAGAGAACCCTGTGTTTTTTTATTTGGGCACAGAAGATAATAGGCATCTCAATGCATCTATTTGAGGAATACCACTCTATAGAACAACTAATCTGGAACTCAAAGTAATCCTCCTGCCTCAGCTCACTTAGTGCTATGATTACAGGTGTGAGCCACTATACCAAACTTGCTGTCAGAATTTGACAGATGACAGAAAGTGATGCAGAGAAACTTCAAGAAACTGGAAACCACTAGCCACTGTTTAGGTGTAGAGCCAGACTTGAGCTGGGCCGTCCATACACCTGACCACCAAGCTCTGCTGTTTCCTCTGTGTCAGGTGACGGTCAGGAAGAAGTCTGAATGAAGGAATGTCACTGTGCTGCTGACATCCTGCGGCCCAGCAGAGCTCTGCTAGTATTACCGGTATGCATACGGTGTGGCACTGCTGCCAAGCCTTCTACATTAAAGAGTCAAAGCACATTTGCTCCTGCTGTTTTGTCTTGCATGTACCATTTGACACAAGTCACAGAAGCAGAACAGGTTCTACTGCTGCTGTTCGTATTGGATTCTTCCTGAGAGAAGAGGGAAAGGGGACTGCCCGATTCTGTGGTACAATTTTAACACTTTGAATTAATCAAGCAAAAATTTGCCAAAATACAGGCTATATTTGTGAGAAGTGCTGGTGGCTCTTCTGGTTGTGTTCTCCATACCTCTGTGTTTTGACAAAACATCCTTTTCAAAGCACTGCACAGGATTGTAACAAACTATACATAGTGACATCCACAAGGGCTACATAGCTAAATCTTTGAATAATGCTTTCAAATACAATTCTTGCTTCTTATTCTCAACTGACTTTGTCTCCTAAGAGACCAGACCTTTGGCATAATCTAATATTTAACACCACGTATTCAGCAAGAGAACTCAAATAAAGAAACATAAGCCAAGAGGTTTTACTAATAAGGTATGTAGTGTTAAACTATACTTCCACTGATAATTTCAAGTAGAGGGAGCTATTGTGTAGGAAGAGAGCAGAGGTATTCAGAAAACCTAGTATGTATCTACAGGCGATCAAAGCAGTGATATGAAAAAGTTGTCCATTTTGTCACCAGCAACCATGAATCACAACATGCTTTCATTTTGATATATGAAACCATTAAATTTTTAGTCTGACACACTAATAAATAAGGTATACGATTATGTCCTTCATCTAGGAAGTCAGTTTTTGACAAAAGGCTCTTTTATTATGAAATGCACAGGAAGCTGGCATTGCTTCCTATCACTAAACATTATTGGAAAGACTCTAACAGTAAAATATACCAAAAGTAAAATGTTTGTCTACATTCATTGTGAATACTCGATACCACTTCACTGAGTCAGAAACTTGAAGAGGTAAACGAGCACATTTTAATGACAGCTGGCAGAAACAATTTTTAGAAAGATCATTATATAATGAGGAAGACTCATTGAGAAACAATGATAATAGTCCTGCTATGGAAAGACAATGAATTACATTTATTACAGAAAAGTCTTGCTAGTACTTATTTGCATGGACTATAGTCTCCTTTAGAACACAAACTAGTGACAAGTGCACTTCCTTACTAAACAATATTCAGGCTTGGTGTCCTTGTTATTCAAAACATCTGAGGCCTTTTCCTAGAAGCCAGAACCCAAATATGGCTTTTTTTGTGGCTTATAGAAAGAAAACTGAAGTGTGTGTGCACACCCATGTGCATGCGCACACCATAGTGAAGATGTCCATCACGTCTAATTGCCACTGTGCTCTGGGGATAATGTTCCTGACTGTGTGGTTTGCTACATTCTATAATGAGAAGTGATTCCTGCATGACCATTAAGGCAGCATCTTGCCTACTGGACTGGCTGTGTTGTGAAGTTTTGCTGCATGAAAAGTGCTCAAACAACATACTGGCTCAAGCTACACTCTACATGTTCACTTTCTGAAAACACTCTATAATATCATACACATGGTATATACAAACCACATAAAGATGGTAAAGATAGTTTTCAAGATTGCCACTGAACCTTGAGGCCCTGCAAGCATACTTTAATGTTCTCACTATCAACATTCAGCATATTTGTGTGTGTGTGTGTACATTTGTGTACGTGTGTGTTAATGTGTGTGAATATGTATGTACACATGCGTGTGTGTATATGTGCGTGTGCAGGCCCGTGTGTGTGCTTGTGTATATGTGTACATGCGTGTATCTGTGCATGTGTGTATGTACGGGCCTGTGTGTGTGTGTGTGTGCAGGCCTGTCTGTGTGTGCATTTGTGTGTATGCATTTGTGTGTGTGTGTACGCACACATGCGTGTGCGTGTGCACATAGGCACCACAGCATCAGAGGACACCTTGCTGGAGTTGGTCCTCCCGTACTCAGGTCATCATGCTGAGCAGCATATGGCTTTACCCACTGATCATCTCTCATGTTTCCCCTTTTGATGAAGAAAACTGAGATGCTGCCTTAGAGCAAACAGCCAAGAGAGGGCACTAAAGGCCAATCGTAGAGCGCAAGAAACACTTGCCTTGGTTTAGAAATTTCTCCTCTTTATTCAAAACTGTTGTGTCATTGTACATTCTATAGCATGCCAACCATTTATGAAAAAGATGCTTCATGAGAGGGTGAAGCTTTCTAAAAGTCAGGACTCTGCAATCAACAAGAACAGCAAGTGTTCAAGGAACACTACACAGAGGCCAGCGAGGCGTATGCCCTCCACACTCATCACTCAGTTAGGCAGCACTGGTCAGCCAGCTCTGTTGCAAAAAGCCAATCAAGCCACCTGCCTGAAGGTCATCAAGGAAAACTTAAAAATATTCAGGTGACACTAGGGTTTGATATTTATTAGAAACAGTGGATTTTGCAATGTTTGGGAAATCCAGTCCTGAGTGGCAACAGCACACTGCACACACGCACATGCCCTCCTGCCCTTGCCCTAGGATTCTTCCTTCACAAGTCACTCTATTATCCTCCTTCTCTTCCATCAGCTCACCCCTCTCCTCTGCCACCCCAAGGCCTGGTTTAACCTCACACTATTTCCTGCGTGGACAGATGCTACACTCTGATAGCATGCCTGCAGTCTGTAGTTTTATCATCATTACACTTCCTACAGAAAGAACGGAAACTTATAAAATGAAATGAAAATGCCTGCAGGAGGCAGCGGTCAGGAAGGCCCAGACTGAACCAATGTCCCCGCACTCAGGAACTCACAGTAGCTGTGGGGGCCTGAACAAGATGAGGCCAGTCACCATTCCAGCATAGAGAAAGCAGGGGCTCACAAGCTCCCTCCCACGTCTGAGGAACTGATGGCTGCTGATGACTTCTGGAGGGTTTTCTTTCCCACACTCATCAGTATGGGCAGCACAAACTGAATTTGACAGGTCATTAAAAAAGAGAAGGGAAACTGAGGCAGTGGGGAGGTAGGAAGGATCTGGAAGGAATTAGGGGTAATGTTATGGGGGTGAATATGATCAAAATATACTGTACGAACTTCTCAAAGAATTAATAAAATTATGTTTAAAAATAAAACAAAACTAAAAAGTAAAATAAAAATATAATCATTCCTCTGCTTAAGATGACACCACTTTGGGATCAAGTCCTAACGCCTTTAACTTTTATGCAGAGACATGCCTGCGGGTCTGCCACGCCTTGTCACAGCAGTACACCTACTGAAAACTGTGACACTGTGGAAGCTTTCTCTCACCCAGGAATGCTATCCCTGATCGCTACCACTCATCTATGCCTTTGCCAGGGTTTCATCTTGCGACACACCTTCCCACTTCCTCAGAAACTGAAATATTTTTCTATTTAGTGGGGTCAATTTTAGCCCTTTTCATAATACATTTTCCATGCTATTGTTTATTTCCAAACCACATAAATATATATTATATGT